AAAGTGGACCATTTTGGCACCCTACTTTTTTTACAACTTTTCACACAGTCATATAATACTGTTTGTAGGTTCCTATGTTGAGGTGTGTACAGTGAATGGTACAGATGACCAGTGTGTTCCATGTCCACACGATTCGTACCTAGATGATAACACCAGTTCTGACTTACCAACGCCCTGTATCCAGTATAACTGTCCTCCAGGTATCATAGTCACAGGAAATTCAAAATGTGAAAACATAAAAATAAGGATTTATATACTGGTAATATTCATTTCCCAGTAAGTGCATTTTTGCTTCAGTGACTCTGGACTGAAGATCATATTGTTTTCGGTCTGTATTTCATCTAACCTACCACTTTGATTCGTAACTTTCTAAAAAAGAGACTAGAAGATAAATCAAGTTCCTGTTGTATTTATCAGGCTCTGTGCCAGCTAACACCTTTCCTAAATCAGGCTGCCATAAGAAGTGTCAGTGTGATGTTACTCAAAAGTATGTGGGGACGGATCCTTGTGATTGTAAAAAGTCCAGCGTCACATGTACCAGGGGAAAGCAGCTGACAATCCATAATGTCTGCAGTACAATGTAAATATAGCTCTTTCATGAGGATTTAATTTTAAGTTCACCTGAACCAGAGACTCAAGTGAAAGGGCTTAATATCTGTTGCATGGGGGTCAGGTAAAAGGACATAGTTCCAAATGAAACTCAACTCCTTTTTCACCCAAATTAAGGGAAAAATTCCCAAATGACAAGCAGATTGAATATTTAGATATTTTTATCAGAAATCTGAATTTTCAGATTAATTGTTTATTAAGATATGAAAAGAGGAAAAGCCTACCAACTGACTGTATTTACTTCAAAGTAAAACGTACCGGTAATATGTTTTCCCATTTTCCCTAGATTTTTAATTAAAATTCTCACTGTATACATGTATATTTGTGTGTGCATGTGTCCATTATTATGTATTAAGAAATCCAAAGTACATGTATAAGGTTGAGAATGTATGTTCGTTCGCCCTAAACAAGTTTGCCCTTGACGCCATTCGCCCTTATTCTCGTTCGCCCAGAGTCTGTTCGCTCTAAAACTCCTTTGCCCAAAGTCTGTTTGCCCATAATATGTTAGTGGGTTAATTTTTTGTAATTTCCTTTGATTTTATTGGATTTCATGAATTTTTATTTAAATTATAATTAATTATACTTCAACATTCAGTATAGATGAAGAAGTAAAAAAAACTGTAAAGTAATCGATTCGATAGTTGTTAGTTTACAAGGAATGTTATATAAAAATTTTATTAAATTGAGAATAAAAAATTTCCTCCAATGATAAACCCTTTGCTCAGAGGCTGCTAATCCCCAATTATAAAATGGCCTGTGAACATAATTAACATCACTTTCAATTTCCTTAATTATTTTCAAAACATATATATAAAAAACAAACAAACAATTTACAGTAAGTACTAAATTAACAGCAATTAAACCAATTATCTTTGATAACCATTAAAATTGGAAATAAAGTTCAATACTGATGGAAACGAGATATATTTATTAGCTCTTTTAATTAACAAAATAAAAAAATATTGACTGAAAATTCAACGATAACATTGACATAAAATATTAACGATAGGGCGATCAGGTTATGGCAAACGGGATAGAGGGTGAACAAGAATTATGGTGAACAGACTCTGTGCGAACGGACTATACATGTGAACAGGTAGATAGGGCGAACGTACCCAGTACCCAATCCTCATTTGAAAATCTTAAGAATCATAGCTGAACAAGAATTATGGTGAATGGACCCTGCTAGAATGGACTACACATGCGAACAGGTAGATAGGGCGAACGTACCCAATACTCAATTGTCATTTGAAAATCTTCTTGAGAATCAAAGCTGGTTGTTGATTGTTTATGTCCCTTTGATGTTGGGATACAGCTGATTACAAGTGAAAGGCAGCAAAGAGCTTGGTTAACTTTATGCATAAAATGGCCCTGTAGATATATTTATTATTTTTTTATTTTATTATTTTAAATTTATTGATAAACATTCTATGTCCCATTTTAAACATCAGTATAGATTAGAGACTTAGTGCTTTCATTTCCTATAAAAAAGTTTCATCTGAGAGTCCAGGTATTGGAAATCAGGCTTTGTGAAATTGCAATATATAATTCTTGAATTTTGAAGAAAATAGATTTATTTGAGTACTTTCAACTAATATGAGGGCACCCCTTGATCAAAAAATTAAAACTTTATTCTATTCTTCAGAAGCAGTTCTATCATTACATAATTGCACATTTTAGATCAGAGGTGTTCTATATGAAATATTGAAAAATAGAATTGAAGTTTGACTGTGTTTGTAGAAATTTTCAGGATATGGGAAAAATGATGCAATTCATGATGTCATAGTGCATTGACTAGCTAGAAAAGTACGTCATTTTTGATAGATATGCAGTCATTGAGGTTCTGAATGATTTTTAATGCATTGTCAACTAAATCTAAGCAGTTTCACTTTTTCAGAAATTCACAGGGCCAAAAAAGGCCATAAGGGAACCTTACTCTTTAGAACTATACTTTTGGCCATTGAGCAGCAAGATATTTTTTTTGTGTGCTAGCAGCTACTGTGACATTTGTTTATATGGTCTTATCCAAAGCACTTGTCTCCACTATAGGATAGAATCACAAAACAGGGTTAAATTTTTATGTCAAAATATATAAAAAATATCTTTGAAAATCATCATCTCAAGAACAGCATCAATCAAGTTTATTCAAAGATGAGGTTGGGGTCATAATATGGTGACTAAGTTGTGTACAATATATATATATATATATATATATATATATATATATATATATATATATATATATACATATATATATAAATAATAATAATAATAATAATAACTACAAGAATAAGAAGGCTACATTTTATGAAGTCTCAGTATAATGCTAAAAATATGAACTTTAATTTGAGGGGACAATAAAAGGTTTTGATTATTTACATGTACATATTAAATTTCATAGTCAGAAAGAGATTGTTGACTTATATGAGCTTTGTGGCCAATGTATTTTTTTTCCCTCAATTTTTACAATAAAATGTAATTACAGAACAACAACAGAGACTTTGATGCCGCTTCCCTCCGTGAGTGGACAGACAGTCAGTACTACACCAGAGGAGGTAGGCCCAGAGATGAGCACTGTAATAGTGACAGGTGGGAATACCACTCCAACAGAGGACAAAGAACCAATGTGAGTGATTGCAATCTTGTACATCATCTAGCCAGAACATTCTAAGTGATATAGGTGGTAAAACAGTTCAGGCTTTTCATTAAAATATTATTTCAGTGATGCAGTTGAGGAAGTCTGGTATATTTTAACTTTATAGAGTTCATGTTCTCACATATAAATGAACAATAGATAGAGGTAGACTTCTGTAGATTTTTGGAACATTCATGGTGATGGTGTATTTTCATATATATATATATATATATATATATATATATATATATATATATATATATATATATATATATATATATATATATATATATATATATATATATATATTAGGAATTAAGAACTAGGGAAGTTTGAGCTAATTTAGAAAATATGTTAAATCTTGGTTGATTTCTTAATCTCCAGACTTAATAAAGAAGTGCAATGTAGTTATAGTATACAATTAGACTTATACAATCTTTGATCACTTTATTTAATCCAATGGAAGTTGTCTTCCAAGATTCTTTTATATGCACACAAATATCATTAGCTCACCTGAGCTGAAAGCTCAAGTGAGCTTTTCTGATCACCCGTTGTCCGTCGTCCGTCCGTCTGTCCGTCCGTCCGTCCGTCTGTCCGTCTGTCTGTAAACTTTTCACATTTTCAACTTCTTCTCAAGAACCACTGGGCCAATTTTAACCAAACTTGGTACAAAGTATCCTTGGGTGAAGGGGAGTGTAAATTGTTAAAATAAAGGGCCAAGTCCCCTTACAAGGGGAGATAATCAAGAAAAGACAAAAATAGGGTGGGTTCATTAAAAAATCTTCTTCTCAAGAACCACTGGGCCAGAAAAGCTGAAACTTATATGGAAGCATCCTGGGATAGTGTAGATTCTAAATTGTAAAAATCATGACCCCTGGGGGTAGGGCGGGGCCACAATAGGGAATCCAAGTTTTACATTGAAATACATAAGAAAAATCTTTAAAAATCTTCTTCTCAAGAACCACAGGGGCAGAAAAGCTTAAACTTATATGGAAGCATCCTGAGGTAGTGTAGATTCTAAATTGTGAAAATCATGACCCCCAGGGGTAGGGCAGGGCCACAATAGGGAATCCAAGTTTTACATTGAAATATATAGGAAAAATCTTAAAAAATCTTCTTCTCAAGAACCACTGGGCCAGAAATACTGAAACTTATATGGAAGCATGCTGGGGTAGTGTAGAATCTAAATTGTTCAAATCATGACCCCCGGGGGTAGGGCGGGGCCACAATAGGGAATCCAAGTTTTACATTGAAATATATAGGAAAAATCTTAAAAAATCCTCTTCTCAAGAACCACTGGGCCAGAAAAGCTGAAACTTATTTGGAAGCATCCTGGGGTAGTGTAGATTCTAAATTGTTCAAATCATGACCCCCCGGGGTAGGGCAGGGCCACAGTAGGGAATCCAAGTTTTACATTGAAATATATTGGAAAAATCTTAAAAAATCTTCTTCTCAAGAACCACTGGGCCAGAAAAGCTGAAACTTATTTGGAAGCATCCTGGGGTAGTGTAGATTATAAACTATTCAAATCATGACCCCTGGGGGTAGGGCGGGGCCACAATAGGGAATCCAAGTTTTACATTGAAATATATAGGAAAAATCTTAAAAAATCTTCTTCTCAAGAACCACTGGGCCAGAAAAGCTGAAACTTATTTGGAAGCATGCTGGGGTAGTGTAGATTCTAAATTGTTCAAATCATGACCCCCCGGGGTAGGGCAGGGCCACAGTAGGGAATCCAAGTTTTACATTGAAATATATAGGAAAAATCTTAAAAAATCTTCTTCTCAAGAACCACTGGGCCAGAAAAGCTGAAACTTATGTGGAAGCATGCTGGGGTAGTGTAGATTCTAAATTGTTTAAATCATGACCCCCGGGGGTAGGGCGGGGCCACAATAGGGAATCCAAGTTTTACATTGAAATACATAAGAAAAATCTTTAAAAATCTTCTTCTCAAGAACCACTGGGCCAGAAAAGCTGAAACTTATATTGAAGCATCCTGTAGATTATAAATTGTTCAAATCTTGACCCCTGGGGGTAGGGCGGGACACAATAGGGAATCCAAGTTTTACATTGAAATATATAAGAAAAATATTTAAAAATCTTCTTTTCAAGAACCACTCGACCAATAAAGCTGAGACATATTTAGAAGCATCCTGAGGTAGTGTAGATTCTAAATTGTTCAAATTTTGACCCCCGGGGGTTGGGCGGGGCCACAATAGGTATATTAAAAGGGGGGAAATCTGGTAAAGAACAGCATGGCCAAAGTTTCTCAGGTGAGCGATGTGGCCCATGAGCCTCTTGTTTTTCTTTTGTTGGTGTTGTTCCTGCTGGCCCTGAGATACTGATTTCATTCTATCGGAAGCCATTTTATAATGACTTAAAACTAGAATTTGTCTAAACAACTCCCAGATAACTGTAAATACCTGCAGTGACTGATGATATACCGACACATAGCCTACCTTACATAGCCATCAGCATTGTTTACGTAGATCCAAACTGGGGTTGATCAGTTTTAGGAAGTTTTAGGTCCAAACTAATTTACAAACCAAATCCAGAAATTGGGAGATTTTCGGGTTGTTCAACAAAACTCCCGTGAAAAAGCATGACCCACCGTGTCATAAAAAATAATTGGGTTACGGGTTAAAAAAAATCGAGTGTAACCCAAAGAAATTGCGTGAGTCGACAACTTTGACGATCCCTAGCTGTGTAGAGCTTAGAGAAAAGCATATCAACCTCACACTTCGTACTCAGTCGATACGCTTTTTCTAAGGTCTATTTATTTAGGGGTTGATCTCATCAAAAGGCTATATTTATATAATACTTCTCTGGTTAAAGAATTGGAATAACTTAATACATGTATAAGTCACATCTGAAATTATAAACTTTAAGCATGGCTCTCTTCTATGCTCAGTTGACCAGCTAAGCTATTTTCCTCCTTATCGACATTTCTTATTTGCCATTGAACATGTTGAAGGCAGAAATGACTGTAGGTAATGAAAATGGTTACACTGGAGGAAGTATCATTTTTGATTAACAAACATTACATGTGGGTGTAAAGTTCACTGTCATTTATTCATAAATAACCATTTTCATACTAAAGCAACAAATAATATTCTATTTTGAAGATTGACTGTGCTTGGTGGTGTTGGAGTTGCAGTGTTGTTGGTGGTGGTTTTGGTGGTAACTATGGTGTTCATATACCAAAAAAGAAAAAGAAGATTAAGACAAGAAATTTGTAAGCTCCATTTTGTTTTTGTGCTTGAGGTTACATTTACATTTGAAAAAAATTTTGTCTGTCAACTTGGTCATAGACCCTATCATCAATTTTAAGCTCACCTGAGCCATTGTCTGCCATCGTCGTGGTTGTCTTTGTCGTAAACTTTTTATATTTTCACCCTCTTCTCAAGAACCACTGGGCCAATTTCAACCAAACTTGCCACAAAGTATCCTTGGGTATAAAGGGGATTTAAGTTTGTTCAAATGAAGGGCCACGCCTTCTTCCAAGGGAGATAATTATGATTTTGCGAAAAATTAATGGCATCATTTAAAATCTTCTTCTCAAGAATCAAAGAATCACTGTGCTTGAAAGTATGAAACTTATGTGGAATCATTGTGAGGTAGTGTAGATTCAAGTTTGTTCAAATCATGACCCTTAGGGGGTAGGGTGGGGGCACAGTGGGGATCAAAATTTTGCATAGGAATACGTAAAAAAAATCTTTAAAAATCTTCTTCTCAAGAAGAGCAAAGCCATGATTGATCATATATATTGAAGTATCCTCAGGTATTGTAGATTCAAGTTTGTGCAAATCATGACCCCTGGAGGTAGGATGGGGCTACAATGGGTGATCAAAGCTTTACATATGAATATATATGGAAAACCTTTGAAAATCTTCTTCTCAAGAACATAAAAACCATGATTGGTCATATTTATATGGAAGCATCCTCAGGTAGTTTAGATTCGCTTTTATTCCAATCATGACCCTGGGTGTAGGGTGGGGCCACAATGAGTGATCAAAGTTTTACATAGGAATACATAGGAAAAATTTTAAAAATCTTCTTCTCAGGAACATAAAAGCCATGGTATGTCATATTTATATGAAAGCATCTTTGGGTAGTGTAGATTCACTTTTGTTCAAATCATGACCCCCGGGGGTAGGGTGGGGCCACAATTGGAGATCAAATTTTACATAGGAATACATAGGAAAAATCTTTAAAAATCTTCTTCTCAAGAACAGAAAAGTTGTGAGTGATCATATTGATATGGAAGCATCCTCAGGTAGTTTAGATTCAAGTTTATTTAAATCATGACCCCCGGGGGTAGGGCAGGGTCACAATGGATGACCAGAGTTTTACATGGGAATTCATCGGAAAAATCTTCTTTTCCAGAACCACTGGGCCAAGAAAGATGAAATGTGGAAACATCTTCAGGTAGTGTAGATTCAAGTTTGTTAAAATCATGATCCCCAGGGGTAGGGTGGGCCACAATGGACAATGAAAGTTTTACATTGGAATATGCTGGAAAAATCTTGAAAAAATATTTTTCTCAAGAACAACAAAGCCATGATTTGTTATATTTACATGGAAACATCCTCAGGTAGTATAGATTCAAGTTTGTTCAAATCATGACTCTGGGGATAGGGTAGGGCCACAATGGAGGATCAAAGATTTACAAAAGCTTCTTGTATCAGTTTATTTTATACTCTATGGATTTTTATGGAATGTTGTTTTATACTCAGGTGACCGTTAAGGCCCTTGGGCCTCTTATTTCTATATCAAATTATTATAAATTCATCCCTTAAGCTGTGTCCTTTGATGTGTATCCATCTGCGGGGCCCTTGCTGACTAGTCAGTTTTCTAGTAAGGGCCCCGCAAGGATTTGCGGGTGCCCTTTAGTAATCACTCTGTCTGTCTGTCTGTCTGTCCGTCTGTCTGTCTGTGTGTCCGTCTGTCATTCTTCCGTCCACAAATTTTCTGTTTTTTTCTAATAACTTTTTTTAGGGTTGACCAATTAAGTTCAAATTTGGTATGTTGGTTGAATAGGCAGTAAGATATATTTTGACGCTAAATTTGGTTCTCTTTGTCATCCGGTTTGGAGCTGGGGTGGTGGGGTATATTCCTTAACTTTATATAAGAGTGAATGGGCAAAGAGAGATAACTGCTGAGAATGTTCCTATTGTAAACTATGAAAGGCTGCAATGAGTCTCTTGGGATTAATTAACTTTGCTCTTGAAGAAAATCCAAAGCATTTATCTTTGTCTGCCACATTGAGATTAATTAACACCTCTGTCTGCAAATGAAGTTTGTTTTGAAGTTAAGTTCAATTCTGAATGATGTTTACATTCTCTGAAATGTGGATTTAAATAATGTTCATACTTTATTTTGTTAAAATTCACAATGAGTTATGATTTTATTGAATTCTAAAAACAAGATATAGATAAAGATATCGTTTTTATTATTATTTTCTTTTTTCTTTTTTTTTCTTTTTTTCTGCCTTATGTAAATTCAAGAATACTAATTATTTTAACAGGTATTCAGATAATAACCTCATTCTATCATTGCTTAAAAAGTTCTTATTGTAAACTTAGAAGAAAAGGTTGAGAGAGCAGTATAATTAATCCTGTGGGTTTGATTATCTTGCTGGTTTGCAGAATATTTTAGAGGGTTATCTTTCTGACACTTTAAGATTAATTAACACCTTTGTCTGCAACTGGTATTTGTTTTGAAGTTAAGGTCAAGCCTGGGTGATATTTGCATTCACTGAAGGCTGGCATTTTAGAAAACACATGCTTCATTCATTTTTAAATATACATTTAATTGAGTTATTATAGATGTGATGTTTTTTACTGCCTTATGTAAATACAAGGATACTATTTACAGATTGTTGGATATTTAGCAGTTGCTGTTGCTTATTCTTTATATATTTTGAAATTTTTTGGAATCAAGTAAAATTCTCATCCCCTAATCTGCACCCTTATATTTCTACCCCTCGGCGGGGCCCTTGCTGACTGGTCAGATTTCTAGTTAGTATTATTTTTATTTCAAGCTCAACAAGAGGATCAAATTGAATTGGACCCTCTGAGAAGAAATCTAGACAGCAGGGAAACTGATGATAGAATTGTCACAAGAGAACATTCTGGAGAAATAAATTCAGATGGAAGGCTTCAGTGTAATGGTGGACAAGAGACCACAAGTAGAATGGGAGTAGATAATGTTCTACAGGAAAACAGGCCTGGTTTCAACCAGTGTAAAAGTACGCAGGATTTTGTTGATAAAATTATTCATACTGTGCAGTAAAACATGCATATAACAAAGTGCCAGGAATGCATGACATGGCTTCCATATAAACTTAATTTATTATATACATCAAGTTCACAATATATATTAAAGCTATGGAGAATGAAAATCACTTCACTATAATAAGCATCAGTTAAGGAATGTTTTTAAGTTTTGTGTGAGTTATTAGTGTGTAAATTTGTCTACATGCAAGTCTATGTGATTTACACAACAATAATTCATACTAAACTTAACAAGCTAATTCAGAGAATTTGTGTCCCCGCTTAGGGAAAAAAGAAGAGCATGCGCAGTTTGGGGAGGGGGGGTCACACTGCCCCCTGTATTTGTAGAATTATTAAATATATACAAGTATATTGAAGCAAATTTTTTTGAAAAAGCCAATATGGATATAAAGATTTGATTGCTTATTCTTTAATGTGTGTATAGAAGATTCTTTTTTTAATATACTATATACAGAATACTTATCACACTGTAATAATGATTTTATGAGTTTGTACACGCCATAAATCGTAACTTTTTTCATTTCACATGTTGAATAATATCATTTAGTAATTCAAAAAAAAAAAAAGAAAAGAGAATTGTCCAGGGATTGAACCCGGGCCTCTCACTTGCTAAGCGAGCAACATACCACTAGACCACGGAGGCACTTGCTTATATAACATATTAAATACAAACATTAAGTCACATATAATGTTTATATTCACGTTTGATATTGTCAAAATTTTACACAATAAATGTTGTCTAATTTAGCCTTTACTAAACAGTTCTAATAGATGTAATTAGAATATAAAGTCCGCCGATAACCTGTATTATACGTAATAACTCTCAACCTGCCCCTGTGCTAAAAATAGTGCCAAGCAACTTTTAATACAAACAAAAGTATTACAGACAGACAGAAATATGGACAGACAGACCCAAATTAATCACAGGAAGAAACTAGACCTTTCAGTTAAAACTGAAAGGCAGCTTTCAGTGACTTTTCATTGGCCATTCAGTCACTGAATGGCAGGTACATTTCAGTGACCTTTCAGTTACCTTTCAGCCACAATTCAGGTACCTTTCAGTCAGCATTCAGCGGACACATTTCAGTTATCTTTCAGTGACCTTTCCGTCGTCTTTCAGTCACCTTTCAGTGACCTTTCCGTCAACTTTCAGTGACCTTTCAGTCGTAATTCAACAACCTTTTCATCGGTGTTTCATTAGTTTTATCGGTAATTATTCCTTAAAAAAATTTAAATAAAGTTATTCACATCTATAAAGCGACAGTACGGCTGCAAAACGTGTGCTTTTTCATTCAAATTTACCCAATGTATCATTAAGAAATAAGGCATAAAGTTGATGCAAGCAGTTTGAGAAACAGAAATATTCTCTCCTCGTACAAAATTAACATAATTAGTATCTGCTGGAAAACCAAGGGTCGTACGAACTGGAGCAATCTTAGATCTGTTTATTTGTACCACGTGAATTCTAATACGGCACATGCCTACGCTGTAGAGTTTACAATTATAATGAATATGAGGTAAAAGCAATGTTCAAAAGCAATTTATCATAACTTTCTGATAGACTAATCTAAAATAATAATCGTAAAGATTTTAGTCTGTTTTCAGGGGAATTTAACAGAATTAAAAGTGCAATTGTTGACGTTTTGTGTATTGGGGTCCGAGAAAAGAAAAACCACCAATCATACTTTATCGCGGCAAATGTCAAACAAAATAATTTTCTGCACAGTTAAAAAAAATAGCACTTCAAATGGCAACACTGTTTATAAGTCATAGGTGTATTTTATGTTGAGTCTACACTATTTTTTTTTCTTTGAAAGCGATAGAAAAATGAGAAATGATAACAAGTATCAACAAACCTGTCGAGTAGAACCTTCACGAGCCCTGCGTGAGTGTTGCCAAGTTCCCATTTCTTCCTTATCCAACGATTATATTAATCCCCAAAATAAATTTTAGTCAGGAAAGTTGCTTTTTCAAGTTCTGTTTTCAGTTTCTTTTTCTTTTTGGTCGACTTTGTCAATGTATAGCAGGCCTACCGGGCTTCGCTCTCTTACCATGCTGTTTTGTTTATGAAAACTACGCATGCGTGCATAGCATGGAATGTGGAACCCCGAACACGTTGCGATATATATATTTACGTCCCATAAATAACTGTTAATTTTAATGAAATAATCAAAATTATTTGTGTAAGTTGTAATTTTCTGAAAGTTAATACATTTATGAGTAGTAAAAAAATTCCAAATGTTGTCAGAAAATTCTATCAAGTCAGTTTTTTGATGAGATGCGCCGTACTGTCTTTTTAAATGTGTTTTTGTTTTCTTATTGTGACAAAATTCAGATACGTAGTACTGGTAATGGTTAGATTTTCAATTGTCTTTAAATTGTTTACTAAACTAAATCTGTGATGAATATTTTCACAAGTTCATTCAATTTGATAAGTTGTTAAATGAATAAACAGACAGTCAATCTGAAAAAAGGATTGAGGATATCGGTCGAAATGTTCTTAAAATAAAAAAGAAAAAAAAATCTTATTTTTCAGCTTTAAAATAGTTTTTCATTATTTTTATGTCCATCTAACACAGTGTATAATACGGTTAGTTTTCATGGAAATATCTGGTTATGAAAGACAAGACAGAATGAATTATTTATGCCTTTTCTGGAAGAAACTTTAAAACTGTATATTTTCTTTCTTAATTGTTAAAATCGCATAATATTTTAGCTTCTAAAAGATATCGTTTTAAAAAATTTTACATAAACAGAATTAAAAATTTATGCCTCTTGTGGAAGGACCTTAATATTGTTAATTTTGTTTCTTGATTGTTAAAATCGCACAATAATTTAGCATGTTAAAAGATATCGTTTTAAGTATTTACAATGTTTTCCGAGGTGAAGATCCATCTTAAATCATTTCTTTGGAAAAAAAAACAACAGTAACAAAATACAGGTGCCTGTCGTCGATAATTGTTATCATCCCGATATGAGATGTGTAATTAATTAGTCAGCCCCAAAAATCCGCACAATTAACATAGAATATACAAAATGTATACAAGATATATACACATTCCCAGCTCCTCGATACAACAGGTGAACTGGGTGTCCCAATTCAATTTCTACAAATGTATTGATTTTAAATCTCATGGTTTTCAACAAGACACCGTGGCGAAATGGATAATGTCGTGGACTTTCAAGCAGGAGGCCAGGGTTCGACCCAAACTTTCCGCAAGATTTTTTTTTTCTTATATCCACTTTTGTCATTTTTTTTAAATTCGGAAATAGATTAATTTAATATCATTATATTAAGAAAACGTGAAATGAAATTTCTAAGTTAAAAAATAAGCCCATTATTTAATAAAAAGATACAACTGAAAGATAACTGAAAGGCCACTGAAATGTATCTGCCATTCAGTCGACTGAATGGTAACTGAAAGACCTCGGAAAAGTCATGGGAAAGGATCTTTTCAGTGACCTTTCAGTGGCCATTCAGTTACCATTCCGTTGACTGAATGGTGTAATTTCATCCTGTGAATATCCCCCACTTTCAGTGAAAGTGGGGGACAAAAACCTTCCTTATACTTACATTTCATGTGTTTGAAAGCACCATAAACATACGCAATGTTTGAATTTTTTGCTGTCCTATATCATTATATTTTTATTAATATCTCCTAAGCTTCATTGTGATGCCACTTTACATGTAGCACGAATATCTCTGTGTATATTGCTTCATGTGAGTTTACACAAAATTGGCATTCAAATCAATTTCATGGTTGGTTAAGTAGAAAAACAGCATTAATGTAAATATTTCATTATAATCATGTTTGCTCTAAGCATGTTTTACTTAATCTAGATTTCTGGTGAGACATATTTTAAGTTTTACAAAACAGTGCAGCCTTTTATCTCTATTGATACTACAGTATAGTTTATAAATAGTGCATGTTTCTTAGGGTAATAGTTGAAATTGACTCCCAGAGAGAAAACCATTGTCAACCGACTTGTCAGCAGAGGTCAACAATGGATTTATGAAGGGTCTCAATTATAATTGTTATACCGGCCTTTAAAAATTGGTCTTATATAAATCTATACTAAAGAATCTTACAAGCGGTCACAAAAAATCAATGTTTTACCACAGAGAACTCTCACTGTAAATGTATTATATTTAGCGTGTATGATATTTGGCGGAAATTGATTTTTGAACAAGTTAGCGAAGATTTGATTTAGCGGACTTACTTATGTTCCTATTTATATCTACATGTGCAAGACATGTAGCGTTGTACTTGAATTAGTGAAAGCTGCTTTCTGTTTAAAAGAATACACAGCTAAATGTAATACGTTTACAGTATGTCATACTTTTGGCAGAATAAGTTAAAATCTTATTTGCATTCATTGGTGTTCAACAGTGACAGAATTGAGTTTCCCACAGTGCGAATAAAGGAAATTTACATCATGGAAGCCAGCTAATATATACATGTATAAAAAAAATAATAAAAGGTATAATAAAACATTTATTGACTGTATTCGTGGGCAAAATGCGTTTTGTCGATCTCTCAAACCAAACTGCTTGCCTTCAGCGTAGCAGCCTCAGGCAAATACATGTAGTTTGGATCTTAATTGGGTCCTACAAAACGCATGTTGCCCTGGAACCCAGTCAATAAATGTGTATTGTTACCCCAAAAATATGTACTTATATATTTATTTTATTACACTGAATGTATCTTTTATGTATGATATCCAAAGAAAAAAAGGTTTTAAAATTCTTTGGGTTTTTTTTTACAGTAAGAAAGCTTGGAAAAAGATTCTTCGATTTCTTTTATAATTATTGTTTGTTTGATACTCAGAGAGTTTTGATATTTTTTGTGTGTCATTTGTTGTTTTTAATCAGTATATTGAATGCAAACTTCCAAGTTTAATTGTCTTCTTTCCAATTAAGGAGGTTCGATCCTGAGCTTTTGAGCAGATTTTGGTCTGGACTTTTATTTATAAAATTCTGCATCATTTTTAAGTTCAAGCATTAAATCTGGATTCTACAATGCAAATTAAACTATATCCAGTGAAAAAACCGTGATTAAATTCCATTCAAATAGGATTAAGTCAGGGACTATATTTTGATGCGGAAGGTTTTATAGGAGAAAATGATCAATTTTTCCCTTTTGAAATATATACAGTACTGTTAAGTTTAGATTCCTATTTTTCCATGCTGGTTGCACACGGAGCTGTTTTTTGCAGTGAAATGTTTTATGCTGGTTCTGAAATATCTACTAAATTATTTCTTATTAATTCTTACATTATATTGTGACAAATATAGTAAATATATTCTGAAAGTCCAGGAAAAAATTTAGCCAATTTTAACATAAAATTAGCACTTTTTTAGTGATATCTAAAAATTTACATCATAGACCCCCACTTTTGTTTTTCTTTTCTGAATATATAAGATAACTTTGATCAATCTGCCTAAATTCAGCAAAAGCTTAAGACTTTAAAATAATTTTCTTGCTTGTTAAATTTTTAATGCCAGAAAAATCACAGTTTTTGAGTGCAGAAAGGTCAAATAATTGATTATGCGAAGCAATTTGAAACTTTTCTTAGTCACAATTTCAAAGTGTCTTTTTTCAAATAGACTAATAGTTTATTTGGTCTCATGATTTATTTGGATAAAATCATTGGAGGGAAAATGTCGAAGATTTGATTTTTGATTAAGAAACAAATTTCAGTGCAAAAAGGTCATATTAAATGTACTGTAGTGCCAAAAGAAGCATATTGATCCCCATTTTTTGTTTTGTTTTTTAATTAAGGTATGTGTGTAGAAACTAAAAATATACTTGGCAAAAAAAGTTTAAGACTTTAAATATCAGGATCCAACCTCGTTAATAACTGATGATTTGAAAATTTTACAATGAACCACATGAACATAAATTACATGCATGTGACATTATTGTTGTTTTACAAGTGTTAAGTCCATCCAGCGCAATCAGATTTTGGTGTTTAACATGAAAGTATAATAAAAGCAAATGTGTTGTCTCCCTGTGTGCCCCATCTATCAGGTATGCAGTTTTTCAAAATTTTCAAAATCTTGCTGCATATAAAAGAAGCAAGGTACTGTATGTGTACTTAAAAAAGCGGGCTTCATATTTTAGCGGCTTTGGCAGTGACAACAATACACTAATTCATGAATACCACTAAGAAATCATTAATAAATACAATATATGGCGCGTTATTGTGAAACGCTAATTCATGAATACACTGACAACTTAATATCCGGTGATTCCGCTAAATTTTGAATACGCAAATTTTTGTACACTTACAGAAATCCTTTAAGTTTATAATTTTCCGGGTTTTTTTCCTTTCCAGGTGAGACCATACAGAATGGAGATGTACACATACCTCTGGTAAAACTTCCATCACAAAGGAGTAACACTGAGGAAACAGAGGAGAAGAAATTGGTCTCAGATCCTGATCAAACTTTAGGTGATCAATCAGTAAGAGATCCACTCCTAGAACAGATCTCAACCAGTAAAGGAATTACAGACATCAACAACGGGAACAGCACGCTTACATGTAATCATCACGATGTTCATTAAAAAATGATTTTAGGGCTGTCACGGTTCCAAAATTTTTCGGGTCGGGTCAGTTCTGTAAATTTTCCGTTTGGTTTCGGGTTTTTTGGTTTGGTTGTTTACATCTATTTTAAGCCTTGAATTCATGAATTTAACTTGAAAATTATTTATTTGTTACGTTAAATTCACCTTCAAAACAAATCTTAACCATGTTAACGTCTTGACATTGGTGTTCAGGACTACTAGGCCGACTAATACCTTTAACCTGACATTCTTGCTCATTTTGATAATTATGTAATACTTTTGTGACATGTATTTTGTCATAGAATGAAGTAGAATTCAGCTCTGATGTTAATTTATCACCTCTATCGTCATCATTCTTTTGATTTTGATGCCATTTTTTGTATAAAATGGATTCTGATATATAACCCAGACCCAAACCAAAATCTGGAAAAATGGAACCGAAACGGAACCAAATAACTTGGACCGCAGTTTTCGGTTATTTTGGGTAGCTGTGACAGCCCTAAATGATTTAGTTCTCAACTGTGTTGAGGAATATACAGAAAAATATTCATATAGAAAAATGTTTGGGACACAAAAGTTGTGTTTTCTTCTAAGCCAGTTCTGGTGATTTTAATTTTTACCAACGTGAAAAAATCATACACAAGAAAAATACATTTAATTAAAATGCAGTAAAATTACAAAATAGTAGAAGTCAGATTATTTCTGTCCTTTTTCCTATTTATTAAATCGTTAAAAATGGTTTGAACATTGTGTAACCTTTCATCTATGCTGGGAAATGGTACTTTAAGGTCAAGATGTAGTAAATGAAAAGAGCCTACAGATTTCTCAAACTTGAGAAATAAATTCCTTTTATGATGCTTTATAACTATAGCTCGGTAAAATAAGGTGTATCGGGGCATAATTTGCAAGAAAACAAGACGAAAAACCATCTTGTAAACTGTAATTTGTATGTTCTTAGCCTCTTCTTTAAAATAATGTAAAATTGAATATAGGTATCGGGATTACTTTTCACATGATTTCAAATTGAATGCCATGAAAATACTTTGTTTTCTACATAATTCTATTGGAGCTGTAAAGTACATCTTTTTCAGCAGCTAAATCATTGGGAAATACCATTGGTCTATCATCTTGTCCATCACTAGATCCAAAAAGTATAGAGGGGGCAAATGGTAAGTCACTGTAACAATTTTCGGATTCACCAATGGGTAATAAACTAGTACAATGGAGCCTCTTTTATCCAGATGCTTTGGTTCCTGGTCAAAATCGTACAGATAGGTGAAACATCAGATATCTGATTTTCTTGATTTTATATATATGTTTATCCCATGTTTACCCCTTTATCCCATGGATATGACTCATTGGATAATTTTCTCATATTCCACAGTTAAGTGCAGTTGTGACATCACAATGGTTTTTGCGTTAGAGTGATGAAGTAAAATAAAGTGGAGTCCTACATAAAACAGCGTAAAACATTGGTTGTGAAGTATTAAACATGGGATAAAAAGAATCTCCCATGATTTGTAGTTGGATATGACTTTTATCCAACTCGTGTGTTTTTATCCCCTCGCCAAGGCTCGGGGATAAAAAAAAACACACAACTCGTTGGATAAAAATCATATCCAACTACAAATCATGGGAGATCCTATATATACATGTGTGTGTGTATGTATGTATATATATATATATATATATATATATATATATATATATATATATATATATATATATAAGAGTAACACTCTTACTCTAACCTTGGCTATAACTTTTGAATGGTTGCTGCATGGGCTTTCATATTTCACAGGTGTAATTCTTGATCATTTGTCCTTGACCTGTAAGTTTGACCTTTTTTTGAAAATCTTAATCCTTGGCCATACATTTTGAAAGGTTGATGCTAGGGCTTTCATATTTCACAGGTGTATTTCTTGTAACAAGACCTTCCCTTGGATACCAACAATTTTGATCCTTGACCTTGGAGTTTGACCAACTTTTAAAAAACTTTAACCTTGACCACAAGTTTTGATAGGTTGGAGATAGGGCATTCATATTGAAAATATTTATTCCATATGACAAGACCTTTCTTTGGTTACCAACAATTTTGACCCTTTTACCTTGGAGTTTGACCCACTTTTGAAAAACTTTAACCTTGGCTATTACTTTTGAATGGTTGGTGCCAGGGCTTTCATATTTCACAGGTGTATTTCTGGTGACAAGTCCCTTAACTTGGATACCAACAATTTTGACCTTGACCTTTGAGTTTGACCTTCTTTTGAAAATCTCAATCCTTGGTCATACATTTTGAAAGGTTGGTGCTAGGGCTTTCATGTTTCAGAGCTGTTTTTCTTGTGACAAGACTTTCCCTTGGATACCAACAATTTTGACCCTTTGACGTTGACCTTGGAGTTTGACCTACTTTTGAAAAACTTGAACATTGGCCATAATTTGTAGACAGTTGGTGCTGGGATTTTCCTATTTCACATGTGTTTTCCTTGTGACAAGTCCTTCCCTTTGGTACCAACAATTCTGACCCCTTGACCTTAGAGTTTGACCTACTTTTGAAAAACTTTGTAATCTGGCCATAACTTTTGAATTGTTGGTTCTAGCTAGGGCTTTTCATAGGTATATTCCTTGTGACAAGACCTTTCTTTGGGTTTTAATGTTATTATGCCTCCGCCATGAAATGGCCAGGGGTATATACATGTAGTGTTATGATGTTCCTTCATTCTGTCACTCTGTCATCATTGACTTTCCGTTCATTATCTCAGCAACAGTTGCACACATTCAACTCACATTTGACATCTGGATATGTCATAGGAATATGCTGGTTTAGTTCAAAGAATGAGGGCGCTTTTGATTGACATTCAGCAGGAATTGGGGCACACTTGAAAAGTGACAATTTTATTGCACTGTAAAATTAAATTTTAACCTTCTTTTGATTTATAATGTTCCTATGAAATAGGAAAAGAAAAAATTTTCCCAATAGTTTGTTTTGATTTTCTTAAAAATAACTTGAAACATGGCTAGATGCGTCATTTGCTACAAAATATTACATTTTTAAACACGTTTTTCTAAAAATTTGTTATCTCTGGGTCATCTCTCCATGATTTTAAAAAGACATTTATGTGCATTTGTATTGAAAGAAACGAACAAACGTTTGTAAAAAATGGAGAGAAGACCCAGAGACTATAAAAAATGAACTTTTCCCCAAAAAAATACCAATGTGTAAATGTATTGCTTCTTTGTCATTTTAAATTCCTGAATGTTTGTGTAGCAATGACAGCTCAGTAGAATGCGTTACCAGTCCAACGCACTAAGGAGTCGATAAGTTTTTGGTTCGATCCTCGAATGGAGCAATTTACTTATTTTTCTTATTTATACAAACAATCAAGTGAATTTTATTTACCGATTTATAAGTTTTTAAAGAGAAAAATTTTGGTTCAGTTCCACTGGGAGCGAAAGCAATTTTTCAAACCTACTGAAACTTCATTTCATATATCATACGCTATTATCTTGTTAGGTGTTTATTATTTATGTGAAGTATTACTGTGTTATCGTAACTATCAAATGGACTAAAATATTTCATATTGAAAGTTATTTAAATGTTAATCTAAACATTTTCTTATGTGCGTAACTTGGTAAAGTCTGTCCACTTCTGGTCAGCCGACCAAATCCTGGACATTTAAACCATAAATGTTTCGTACACATGATTCCTGCAGATCGAACGCCAAGTACGCCCTTCTTCCTGCAGATCGAACGCCAAGTACGCCCTTCTTCTTTAGTCATGGTCTGATGACTTTTGTCAAGGTTATCCCTCTTGAACTTGGGGAAAAAAAGAAATTTTAAGTTTCTGCTTTCTAACTTTTGTAGGGACGTTTGTATGAAGTTGAAATTGTGCATGAATTGTGCAGGTACTATTTCAGAAAATACAGGTCAAGTTTGAATTTGGTTATGGTCTGATGATTTTTGACAGATTTATCCCTCTTGAACTTAGAAAAAATAAGAAATTTTCACTTTCCGCTCTCTTCCTTTTGAAAGCATGCATGTAGATGGAAGGAATTGCATATGCAGGTCTTTTACCAGTAAATACAGGTCAAGTTTGAATTTAGTCGTGGTTCAATGATTTTTGACAGAGTTATCCCTCTTGAACTTAGAAAAAAATAAGAAATTTTCAATTTCTGCTCTCTAACTTTTGTAGGAATGTATATATATGTAAAGTTGAAATTGCATATGCAGGTATTTTACCAGAAAATACAGGTCAAGTTCGAACTTGGTCATGGTCCGATGATTTTTGACAGTTATACTCCTTGAACTTAGAAAAAATTTGTAATCATTATCTCAGCTACAAATGTGCAATTTACAATTTGAAATTTGAAATTTTGGCTGCCTGCAGGGGCATTTGTGGCATTACGACACATCTAGTCGATCTCTTAACCTTAACCTTGGAGTTTGACTTGCAATTGAGGAAAGCCTTCAGCATGAGCTGCCATATGGGGGCATCAGTGATTCTCAAATACATCTTGTTATAATATACCTTATCTTTGTACATTAAATGTTCTTCAAAGACAAAGAGAGGCCAATGTGCTAAGAAATGAGATGGGTTTATTAATAGTGCTCAATCACTTATGTTTTGTTTAGTTTACACTTTGGCAAATACAGGCAAGTAAATTGATCTACTTTATGATTTATTACGGAGTACTAAGCTAATTATTTTGTTTATCCCTGATTATTCTACTTGCTTTTGGGCAATATGTCTTCATCTATCAATTTATTTTGTTTTATTTTATACTTCTATGGATCCTTTTAGTGTTCACGGTAGCTCAGTCGGTAGAGCGCTCGCTCCATGATCGGGAGGTCATGAGTTTGAATCTCGGCCGCGACTGACCTAAGTCAATAAAAAATGGGTAGCAACTGTTCCTTCGCCATGCGCTCGGCACTTTGAAGTGAAAGTTGGGGGTCCTTCAGATGAGACCTTAAAAAACCGAGGCCCTGTGTCACGGCAGGCGTTAGCACGATAAAAATCCCTCACTGCTCAATGGCTCTGAGTGCCGAGTAAAGGTCAAAATTTGAAGTGCTTCACCGGTATATGGTGACGTCTCTATATGAGTGAAAAATTCTCGAATGGGACGTTAAACAACATGCAATCAATCAATTTATGGATCCTTCATAATGTTGTTTTATACTCAGGTGACCATCAAGGCCCTTGAGCCTCTAATTATTATTATTAAAGATTATACATAGCAGTAACTAATTTTTTTTTTTTCTTGCTTGCAAATTTCAACCATCTTGTGATAAAAGTTGTTGTGAAAATTTTACATATAATATAATACAGTATTATTTAGAATTGCACACTACTACATTATTAGTTTAGTGTGGGACTTTGCCTTACTTAAAGACAACATTCATTGAGGTGAGCACTGTAATTTCTGATTACCTATGTTTATCACGAGTCAGGATTTTTGCATGCATTGCCCAGTGGTATAGTCAGAGAACTGACGTTTATTCAATGTTCATTTTCAACAGATATCCCAAACAGCATAAAGCTTAGATCTGCTCCATCTCTCAACCCTAACAGCATGCAGACAGGATAAAGTTTGGAATCACTCCATCTTTTAACCTCAAGAGCATAAGATCTTCCCAGGTTATTTAAAATATGTATATATTTGTTAAATATCTAACAGTTTATATATTATATTGTTATATACATGTATATTAACAGTTTGCAGAATAAGATTTGTATTATACTATATAGTCGGACCAAATATGTTTGCCATATTGTTTTAATTTGCTTTATGTAAAGTGCCATACATTTTTTTATTTCTATCTTTACAGAGTGTTCAGTTTTAGATCTACTGGTCAAAAAGCAGAAGAGGTTAGGCATTAGTAAGGTGTCTGTCAGTCTATCTGTCTGTTTGTCCGTAAACAATTTTTCTGTTACTCCTCCTACAGTTTTGATCCGATTTGAGTAAGACTGTGTACACAAGTAGATTAGACACAATAAGACTATACTAAGATACATAAGTCTTTTTATCAGTTTTTGATATAGATGATTGGTATTGCTATATTTACTTAAAATAGAGCTTTTGAGAAATTCCTTCGAAATGCTATTCATTCCTTCAGTTTGGGTACAATTTCCCTAAGAATTGGTATACAAGTAAACTCTGCTACGGTAAATAATTCTCTGCATTGGTTTTTAATTAACATGAGCCGAAGGCTTAAGTAAGCTTTTCTTATTCAAAATGTGTCCATTGTCTGTCATTGTTGTAGTCGTTGTTAACTTTTTACAATTTCATCTTCTTCTGCAGAACCACTCAGCCAATTTCAACAAAACTTGGCACAGAGTATCCATGGGTAAAGGGAATTCAAGTATGTTCAAATGAAGGGTCACACCCTCTTCCAAGGGGAGATAATTTAGAAAAAGTAAATATTGGGTTGTGTCTTTTGAAAATCTTCCCAAGTACCACTGGACCATAAAAGATGAAGCTTACATGAAAGCTTCCTTACATAGTGTAGATTCAAGTTTGTTCAAATCATGACCCCCGGCCGGGTGTAGGGTGGGGCCACAATGGGCAAGTTTTACATAGGAAAAATCTTTTGAAATCTTCTCAAGGAAAAAGCCATGATTGGTCATATTTATATGGAAGCATCCTCAGTTAGTGTAGATTAGTGTTTGTTAAACTCCTGATCCCTAGGGGTACAGAGGGGCTACATTGGAGGATCAAATTTTTACATCAGAATACATAGGATAAATCTTTAAAAATCTTCTCAAGAACAGAAAAAGCATGATTGGTCATATTTATATGGAAGCATCCTCAGGTAGTGTAGATTCAAATTTGTTCAAATTTTGACCTCTGGGTGTAGGGTGGGGCCATAATGGGCAATCAAATTTTTACATTGGAATTTATAGGAAAAATATTTTAAAATCGTCATTCTAAGAACAGCAAAGCCAGTTTGTTATATTCATATGGAAGCATCCTCGAGTAATGTTGATTCAAATTTTTCAAATCTAGACCCTCTAGGGTAGGGTTGGGCCACAATGGGCAATCAAAGTTTTACATTGGAATATAGGAAATATCCTTAAAAATCTTCCCAAGAACAGCAAATCCATGAGTAGTTATATTAACTCAGAAGCATCTTCAGGTAGTGTAGATTCAAGTTGTTCAAATCATGTTCCTCGGGGGTAGGGGAGGGCCACAATAGAAGATCAAACATATAGAAAAAAATTAATTATTTAAACCCATGATTAATCTAATAAATATGAAAGCATTCTCAGCTAGCACAGATTCAAGTGTAAACAAATCATGCCCCCACTATACTAAGGTACTTAATTCTATTTATTAGGTTTTGATTTTGATGAAAAATGTTTCCATAGTTAGCTACTTAAATTAGAAATGTGTGACATTCATTTAAAAAGCTACTCTTCCTTCAGTTTTGGTACAATTTCAAAAAAAACAAGTACACTATGAAAAGATACATAATTTTTTATAGTGGTTTTTGATTTTTAATGGTGTTGCCATGGTTACTAAAATTTGAAATTTCTGTGATATTCTTTCAAAATGCAACTCCTCCTACTTTGGTCCAAATTCAGTAAGATTTGGTGCACAAGTAAACTATACTGAGATACATACATTTAATTGTATGTATTGGTTTTGATTTCACTGATAGATATTTTAGTGAAATTCTTACAAAACACTTCTCCTCTACAGTTTTGGTCTGATTCAATATGTGACTTAGTACACAAGTGGACTATTCTAAAATACATAGTTCTGTTAATTGATTTTTTATTTAGATGAACACTGTTGCAATGTTTGCCATAAATATGATTATACATGCATTTGAAATTCATTTAAACCACTCCCCCTATGTTTTGGTCTGAATTTAATAAAACTTTGTACACAAGTAAACTAGACCCAGGCTCATAACTCATATTTATTGATGTTGCCATTGCTGACGTCCAGATGCTTTTTTTTCTTTTCATTCTTAATATATGAACAAGCCAGTAGTGCTACAGTATCATTTTAAAATATAATTGTATGTTTCCAAGTCATTTTTTTATGTAAATGTATATTTGTGAAATAATTTATTAATTTAATGTTTTTATAAAAACACCTCTTTATTAGAGGGGGGGCAAAAATTTTGAGTGGCCTGTAGTAATCAGTGTCTGTCTTCTGCCCATCCTTTGGTTCACAAAGTTTCGTGTTTGTTTTTTTTTTTTTTTGTTTGTTTTTTTTTTTTCTTTTCTTTTTTTTTTCTTTTTTTTTTAAATACAGTTTTTTTAATGATTGTCCAATATTTTTCAAATTTGATATGTTTTTATAGACAGAAAGACATACAGTCAAACTGTGTTATTTTGAACTTGATGGGACAGAGTTAAAATTTCAAGATATGTGAGGATTAGATATATTGAGAGTAAAAACTGAAAGAAAAGGTGTTTGATACTTTCAAATCACTTAATTCTAGATACACATAGTATTCTATTTAAGATATTGATGTTGGAGATTCTGATTCAAGTTCAGCTGTATATTTTGATACAAGGTAGATCCATTATGATGTTATAATTGATTTAAACTTAGTTTTTCCCATACTTTACAGCTGTAATAAAATTATATAAAAGCCCAATAAAGCATTTTCATGAATTCCAATTGAAATAATGTCAGAAGTATAATCCTGATACCTAATGTTATATTCAATTTTAAATCATTTTAAAGAAGGGGTCAAGAATATGTAAATTACAGTTTTCAGAGACTGTAGGCAATCTGGCTTTATTTTTTTTGTCTGAATCCATATGGAAAAAAAAAATCTCCTTTTATATTTCTATGGGATTTTCTTCATTTTTTATGTCCTATTCTCTTTGTACATGTACTATTATACAATTAAGTCAGTGCCATGACATTCATCATCTGATTTGGTTTTTTTCTTTAACAAATTATTGTTTGATTGTATAAACAATCTATTAAAAGAGAGAAAGAAACTTAAAAATGATAAAATTCATATTTAATATACTTTGATATGATGGTGCTGGACATTACATATGCTGTATTGTAGAAACACATTGTTTAAATTCTTCTAATACATGTATAATAAATTTGTAATATATAATGAACTTTGTTTATGTAAAATTTTACAGAATTTATTAAAAAAACACAAAATTTGTTGTACTTCAAACATTTAATATATATGAAATGAACACTTTTACATTTTTAGTTCACCTCAACGAAGTTGGGGGGAGCTTATATAATACTGTCAGCGTCCCAAGTTTTTGGAGCAGATTTCTTGTCAAGTATTTCTATGCCCTATATTAATCAGAGATGCATGGAAGATGTTTCTAGCATGTTTCACTGTACCAGTCAAGGTTGCTGCAATTTCAGCCAAAGAATGACCAGGTTAATGTTTTAAAGCAGCTAAAGTTTTTGGAGCAGCTTCATTCTAAAGTAACTATAATCCTATCAACCCTATGTTAACCAAACTTGATGTTAATCTAAGGATTGATGTTAATCTAAGGATGGACACTACTGGACGTACTTCGGATGTCGGATTTGGCTTACATTTTCTGGATGAGTGTCCAGATTAAAGTTTTTGGATTAGGTTCATTCTAAAGTAACTATTATAAGCCCTACATTAACCAAACTTGCTTGGATGTTAATGTAGGGTTGCACACTACCAGCCTTGCTTTGGATGCTGACTTTGACCTGCATTTGCTCAATGAGTGTCCAGGTTAAAGTTCTTGAAGCAATTCATTCTAAAGTGACTATAAGCCCTATGCTAAACAACTTTCCATTGAAGCTACATTTTTTGATGCACACTACCAGAGTTGCTTCAGATGCCGGATTTGACCTACATTTTCTAGATGAGTGACCAGGTTAAAGTTTTTGGAGCAGACTCAATTCAGTGTAATTTCAAGTCCTACCTAGACCAGACTTGCATGGATGATGCATCAACAGATGAACCCTCTCAAACTTGCTTCAGATGCTGGATTTGACTTACATTTTGAGGATGAGTGACTAGTTTAAAGTTTTTAGAACAAGTTCATTCCCAAGTAACTGCAAGCCCTAGCTATCAGACCAAAATATGCATAAGTGTTGCATCTAGGGATGTATTCTCCGAGCTTATTAGTTTAGTGTGGGACATTTCCTCACTTTAAGATAACATTTGTGGAGGTGATCTCTGTAATCTTTGATTACCTATGTTTGTGAAGTATTTTTACAAAATTGTAATTTTGAATTTTTAAATTAATAAGGTCATACATCCATTTTAAAATTTTCGCCTGTGTCTTATGGAATGTGTCTGTACATGTGTTTTTGCGTAAAAGGATATATATTAGATTTGGGCTTGCATAATGAAAGTTTAATATAGATGCTGCTTTTGATTGCAAAAGCTCAAAGAGAACTCAGACCCGTAGCAACATTATTCAAAAAGGGATGGGGGCAACCTGCGAAAAAATTTGACAAGCAAACAAAAAAAAAACCCCAAAATTCCCAACTCAAAAAATTCGAAAATCCTACTGGGGGGGGGGGGGGGGGGGGGGCTTCTCTATGTTTGTTTTTTTATTGTTTAACGTCCCTCTCGAGAATTTTTCACTCATATGGAGACGCCACCACCACTTGCCGGTGAAGAGCTGTAAATTTTGTCCTATATACTCGGCATTTAGGGCCATTGAGCAGTGAGGGATCTTTTTCGTGGCCAGCACCTACTGCGACACGGGACCTCGGTTTCACCCGAAGGACCGGTCTCCACGTCCCACAGTGGGATTTGAACCCGCGACGTAAGGATCAACTCCTCACTCCGCGACTCTAGAGCGAACGCTCTAACCACAGCGCCACGCGGGCGACAGGGGGCTTCTCTAACATTTCGGTACATTTCTTTTTTTTAAATGCTGGATTTGTCAATGTTCGACCTTACAGATACAAAAAGTGTGGAAAGGAGGGAGGGGGCAATTCAAGCAAATTCCAAATGAAAAACTATCAAAAACTATTTTCAGAAAAAGCCCCCCCCCCCCCCCCCCCCCCCCCCCCCGCGTACTACAGGCCAGATACCAAAGTTATTATATCTGGGAAGTGGGAACCATATTATACACGTACGTGCATATGAATCTCTGACCTTGGTCTTTGATCTTCTGACCTAAAACTCTCTAAGAAGATATGAAATAAAATTTCGTTGCAAAAGGACTCGGGAAGATACCATCCGGAATCTATTGTTTCTAATAGACAGACACAAATTAATACCATCCACTTTTAGCGAAAGCGATGCACAATAAACCACAAGAGCGAAATTTGCAAGACATCATGGGATGGAATTAAAAACAAAAAAATCAACACATTGGACTCCTTTCAAAGAGTATTTATTGTAAATACTGCTGTGTAGTTGATGTGTGGCATGTACACAGTTTGCTTAATGCATATGCAGGAGTAAAGTGCTTCTACTTGAAATCTAACTAACCCCCCCCCCCCCTCCATTTCCAAGCACTCTTAACAATTCTTTAAGAGTCTTGGACATCTAGCAGGAAAAAAAATTCTTGATCGACCTTGGGTCCAAAGTCTCACACCCAGGGTGAGACTATGTTGGTCAAATACATGAAAATATTTAACAAATATTCTTCTTCCTAAAATAAATGTGACAAGAGTTCAGGCGCCAGAGAAGCTCCATTGTCCGTCATCATGTTTTACATTAAATATCAAGCAGGCAAACTGTTTATATACAATATATATACTATTTTCATGTAAATTACTTGAATTGGTTTCATCGAGAATCATTTGTTAAAAAACACTGTTACCCTCTGAATAATGAAATCACGCCCTCCAGCGCGATAGAACTTAGCAACAGTCAACATTGCTTGACGACGGGTGATATTCAAAAAAAAAAATAGTGACTGCGCGGAATCTATGCACGCGCTTCACCTTTCTTTGTTTTTGTATAAAACATTCAGTATAATAAATACTGCATGTAGTTGAGGGTAACATTGAAAAATTTTCATCCCTCGAAAACCATTGTCAACCTCAGCTGCGCCTCTTCTTGAGGTGAACATATTCAATGTTACCCTCAGCTACATGCAGTATTTATTTAAGAAATCAATTTAATTTTTGAAGATTCATGAGGACATGAACTACGACGCTTCACGCCGGCATATTTCATGAAGCGCGTTAGCGCTTCATGATAAATATGCCGGCGTGAAGCGTTGTAGTTCATGTTCCTCATGAATCTTCAAAAATTAAATTCATTTCTTATATTTACATTATTTTTCTGATGAGTTGCCACAAATTACGCCATTCAACTGTCATTTTTAAAGAAAACAGTTTGCACTATAGTTTTGACGTCAAGTACGGTATTATGACGTAACAATGGAGATATTCATGCTCATCCATGGTAGTTCATGAGAAAATGAACAGCATTCCAATTTGCAAAGAATCTTAAGAAAAAATATTTGGAAATGTAAATATATAATATTGAACGTCCCAGGAGACTAAATATGAGAAAAACGAGGCGATTATAGCTGCATGAACATAAAAAGAAGCTTTTGTGTGAATGGTCATTGAAATAATGGTAAATCATTGATAAAACTATAAGTTGTGAATATATTTATATATCGAAAGACTATTACGTATATGTATAGTAGGTTTTTCTAATAAATTTATCCCTAAAATTTGTATTTTCCTTACTGAGAGCATCGTGGAAACGATTTGTACTTCGTAATAAACTTGCTTACATGAAAAGAGAAAATTGATGAATAGGGTATTGTTCAAATACAATTAAAGCTGTAAAATTTTGTGCTTTAATCAATACATTTAAGTTTTCTTTTTAGCTCACCTGGACTGAAAGCTCAAGTGAGCTTTTCTGATCACCCGTTGTCCGTCCGTCACATTTTCAACTTCTTCTCAAGAACCACTGGGCCAATTTTAACCAAACTTCGTACAAAGTATCCTTGGTTGAAGAGAAGTTTAAATTGTTAAAACAAAGGGCCAAGTCCCCTTACAAGGGGAGATAATCAAGAAAAGACAAAAATAGGGTGGGGTCATTAAAAAATCATCTCAAGAACCACTGGGCCAAAAACAAAAAAGCTGAAACTTATGTGGAAGCATCCTGGGGTAGTGTAGATTCTAAATTGTTCAAATCAGGACCCCCAGGGGTAGGGCGGGGCCACAATAGGAAATCCAAGTTTTACATTGAAATATGTAGGAAAAATCTTTAAAAATCTTCTTCTCAGGAACCACTGGACCAGAAAAGCTGAAACTTATGTGGAAGCATCCTGGGGTAGTGTAGATTTTCAATTGCTCAAATCATGACCCCGGGGGTAGGGCGGGGCCACAATAGGTATATTAAAAGGGGGAAATCTAGTAAAGAACAGCATGGCCAAAGTTACTCAGGTGAACGATGTGGCCCATGGGCCTCTTGTTTTCTGAATACAGTCTTTTGTATGCATGTACCTTATTGATATGTGAAAAAAGTAAAATACATTTTTTTACATATCAATAAGGTACATACATATTTATAAAGCAAGACCCAAGTACCTGTGAATTTTTACCACCAACACCCCCCACCCCCACCATCAATTTATCAGTAAATTGTGCATATTTGCTGCTTTTATCCTTGACGGAAATGAAAGAGCATGAAATATATGGAGATAACGAACAGTATTCAAGCTCAAAAGTTCATCAAACAATACAAAATAGGAGCAGAACAAACACGGACCTCCAAAACATCAGAGGTGGGATCAGGTGCCAAGGAGGAGTGAGCATCCTCTGCCTCGACCGGTCACACCCGCCGTGTTCTCCTTGTCATGATCGGGAAATAACGGAAAAATCCATCGACAATTCAGTGTGTAAATAATGGCCTAACAATTAGTATGAAAAACGTCAGTCAGCATTTGATTCAATGATAAATTGTATTTGCTGACAAGGTCATT